CATAGGATATTTAAATTTGTAAAATATTGTACGCAATTTCTTAATTACGGAATGTATGTGCGTGTCCCATTTAAGGGTAGAATCTAAAAATATTTAACACTGCCTGAAGAAGTGAGTAATTGTTCATTTTGGTTGTTCTTCAGCTTTATGCTTAAATTTGAATATTTGGGCATATATCGTTCACAGGATGAAAATGGGATGTAACAAGTTTTGTTGTAATTTACGGTTAAAAGTCTAGAGTTGAACCATTTGATAATCTTGCAAAATTCTGTTTCAACTAGAGTTTTTAGGTTTTCCCAGGTTTGAGAACTGTGTATGATGGCCGTGTCGTCAGCAAAACTTGTGATTTTTCCTCGATGTTCTAGTAAATATAGCTATTTGCGTTGTATTACGAAACTCTGTAAGACTTTAAACTTCTTGAAACTTGCAGACTTGTAAGTATTGCGCTGTTTTTGTTACAGTCCCCGATAATTAATTATCCGTTGCCTGTAAACTCGTTTTTCAAGTTCTGGTTAGCTAAATCATAATTGAAAAGCATGATTTTCAAAAAACAAATGACTTGGACGCTTCTGCTGATTGGTACGAGGGATGTCTTTTAAGTTTTGCATATGGAAATAAAACAACACGGTAGGTAGTTTTAAATGACTTTATTGTTTTTAGAACTATTCTCCACGAAGATTAATACACATCTGCATGCGCTCGAACCAATTTTTGAAGCACTTATTCCAGTTGTTTGTTGGCAGATCCAAAACGGCATTTTTGAATGCGTTAACTGCTTCTTCTGGTGACTGGAACCTTTGACTATATGGAGGATGGTTCAATAATTCCACGTTTTCTTCCGTTAAATACTGCCTTGCTTTTTGGGCTGTGTGCGGGCTTGCATTGTCTTGGTGGAGGATGATTCTTTCTTCGGGGTTGATTTTTCGAAGCTCGGTGATGACTTTTGGCAAACAAATGGTGGTATACCAATCCGCAGTAACAGTTCTCTGCTCATTAAGAGGAATTGTTGCAATATGACCCGCTTTTGACACAAATGTCGAGACGATCTTTTTCGAAACACTTCGTGAACGGATGACTTTTGTTGGCTTTTCTTCACCTTGGAACACCCAAACAGCCAACTGTCATTTATTTTCTGGTTCATAACAGTAAATCCACGATTCATCACTACTAACAATGCTGTACACATTTTTTGAGTTTCCGGAATTGAAACGGTCAAGCGTTTTTTGACACCAATTAACCCTGGCTGCTTTCTGTTCTTCAGTCAACAGGTGGGGTATCGAACGAGAAACTAATTTTCTTACTCCTAATTCTTCATGTAAAAATTTTTTAATTGAGGTTTTTGAGATCTTCAAGGACGCGAAAATATTCTCGGTTGAGTTCCATTTTTCGAATGACTTGGTGATACTTAAAGATTCACTGAAGTGAGAACACTGCACGTACTGTTGTGAAACTTTGAATTTAAGTTTACTAAAGAGTGAGGTTAAGATTCAATGCTGACCTTCGATCCGAGTGGCCTACTATGTTCCTATATGCAAATCTTAAGAGACATCCCTCGTAATAATGGTTAGTTGTTTCTATTTTTCCAATGCTGTTGAGGAATGTACCTCTAAGTGAATTACTCATTATGGTTGACAAATTCGGCGTACGGGAATGGAAAAATCCATTATTATACCACTATATTGGAAATCATTAATTTGTCTGATGACTTGACAGTTTTACCTAAAGTATTTGAAGTTTCCAAAATAAATGCCTGCATAAACTCCAACGGGCTCAGAGACATGTTTAGGATAACCAGAAATTCTCCGACAACGTTTCCACGTCAATGACGGTAGATAAGTGGGGAGGTCAAACATCTTCAATGTATATCTTATACGACTGACCAGTAAACTGATTATCCAGTATCTCGCAAACATCTGGTAGACGAAACAAACTAGTTGGAATTTTCGTTCCCTCAAAGAGAAATATAAAGTACTCTACAAGCACTTCAGACTTCAACTTTCCGGGAATGGACATTCTTTTGTAAGTCTCTCATTTCGGACTCACGTCAAAGGTGACACCTTCTTTCTGTTGTGGTTCGAAAAGTAATAAGCAAACAAGGTCAAATAAAGTTGCTCTGCTAGTACCAATCGTCCTTTTGCTCCCTTCCTCTCTGCCGAGGATTTATTGTAATGGCAAGTGAGCTGATTGTTATATGATACGTACATCAGGTACAAACCATGTCACTCATTTCAAATTCGATTATAAAAAAACTATACTTTTTGTGATACCTAGTTTTACTTACAAAACTTTTGTGATTTATTGCCTTTCCAATTACATGCTACACATCATTGTGTGTCATTATCTCTAGAAACAACAAAGTTATAACGATATTTATGCGAAATTGTAGGTAATTCAGCAAAAAAACGAACATATCTCGGTAACCGTAGCCCTTTAGCATTGCAATTTCCATCAGAAATCATCAAATAGCATCCCCAACCACCCAAAAAAAATGTATGGTACATGTACCAAACACCCTGTATAGAGTTCTAAATGTTGTGGCAAAAGATGATTTTTCATTATAAATATAAAAATAAGAACCAAATATGATATGAAATTTTTACATTCAATCACTGCAATTCTTGAAACAGATTTTATTTTGGTGTATTTATTTTTATTCGATATTACTTTCTTAGCTTTATTTTGCAGGACTTGCAATTTTGAGAATACAGCTTCATTGACAGTGAACAAGATAGTTGAACAATATAGTAAATGTGGTGGAATAATTGTATTATAAACGATTTTTTTGGAATATGTACTAAGACTATGAGAAACCTTATAAAAGTAATTTGTTTTTGTCAATTTTTGAAATAATGATTTCATTTATCCTAACTATGATATTATTTTCATTTAGGTATGTCCCTATTTGTATACATTTTGTTTTAGTAGCATTCAATTTGGTTTATTTACATTTAACTAATTTTATAATTTTTGCCAAGTCAGCATTTAGCATTATTAAAGCAGAGTCTATATTTTCATCTTACATTAATGCCATTAATGTATAAAATAAATAGTAATGGACCTAGTTTACTACCTTGTGGTATACCAACAGAAATATTTTTTGAGATTGCTAATGTAGACCCAATTTTGTTTTTTTTACTTAAAATTACTTTCCAATATAAAACACATAAATATGCTTGGTTCAACTTGGAATGTACCGTTCGGATTTTAATGAAATTTTCACACAAGGTTACTACTATACCGAGGCCAAAAATTTTTTCACGTGTCAGAGGATCCTGTTTTTGTAAAAAAAAAATGAGGTTACCAATTGGGGGTCGGGGGTTGTAGGGCGATGCGAGGGTATATTTCAGTTTTTTTATATCAATATACTTATACGACTCCAATATTATAGATATTTTCCTAATTATAGAGAAATATTGCCGACCCTCGCGTGTCGATCATACGCTTCGCGGTCCTACCAATGCATGTTTGAAGCAGTCGGCTTCCGTTTCTCGGCTGGATGTGGGCCGTCGATTGTCATCCAGATGTATACAGCTCCGATCACGTGCGTCCCGAAGCTGTACATAAAAACATGCAAAATGTGCAAATTTTAATTTTATGAGCCTGTTTGACTAACTTGATTCATTCAATTTGCGCATTCATTCTTCTTTTACCTGGATTTAATTCGTTGGTTCAAATAAAATAGTTCGGAACTCGTTCTGAACTGCATTTACCTCGGCCATACGCAAAAGAATAAATCGGAATCAGTTCTTCTAGTTCTAACTAGTTTGGAACTGCTTGTTGGAGCAAATCTATATTATATTACATTGAGAAAAAAATAAATTATAATCGCATTGCTAGCTTTAAATGAGTGAACAGCTAAAAAGACCCATTGTTTGGAGAAACTCAGTAAAACAACATTTCTTATGATCGATAGAAAGTCCCACGTCGCAGGTTGAACATTTTCTAAAGCATGTGTGCCTACACTGTAAGTGATGAACTTTGCCACAAGACATCGTCTCGCAACTTTGGAATCACATTTGATGATAACCTATTTTCCCACGATCTTGTCACCCAAGCTGCTCAGGACTCCGATGCTAGTTTAAAATCAATTTATAGCTATACAAATGTATTTACACTTTAGAGCAGAGTTCCCCAAACTTTTTTGTGTCGTAGACCCCTTGCCATGTTTTTCCGTGTTGGGTAGACCCCCTACTTACCCGATATTGATCTCCTGTAAATTTCTAACTGTAGTAAAGTTTAGTGTTAAAAACTTAAAGTAAAAACACATGTTAATTTATACATTTATTAACTGAATTTAAATTAAAACTACTCAAAATAAAATTTTGTATCTGTTATGTAAAATATACGTAACATTAAATAAACAGGTGTCTGACCAATAAGTGCCCGCATTGGGAATAAGTGCCCGCATTGAAAAAAAAATAAGAGGGATAAAATTAAAAAAAGTGAAAAATAATAAAGAAAAAGTTTTTTACTTAAAATAGTACGATAAGCGAGTTCGTTTATTAATTATAACATAAACGTATGTTCTACAATAATTTCACTGTTAGTTTGATGAAATTCCGCTTCTTATACGTTTAAGTTATCTAAAAATAGGCAAAAAATTAACCAATTTTAGTGTGTACCTATCCTTGACTTTTCAGAATAATTTAAAAAAAATATTTTCTATAAAGGGGGGTTCTTTAAAAAAATCAATGCGGGCACTTATTCCCAATGCGGGCATTTATTGGTCAGACACCAATAAACATAAAATAAACTATAAATAAAATAACATAAGCAATAAGTCAATATTTTTAGTGAGAAGGATGAACCTGATGCTTTAATAATAAATTAACAACATTTGGCGTCAATTTTGTAAAGGTTAATCTTAAATCTCTTCGGCTAATGGTGTCCAGTCTGTTTCTTTTTTTCGTTAGGAGATTGGTAACAGCGCTGAACCCCCTTTCCACTAGGTATGATGATGGAAAGGAAATTAATAATTTCCTCGCTATATTCCATAATACGGGATAAGTAACGGGTATGTTGTTTTGCAGCCAGAATTGCTGATATCCGTTTTTAAACTGAACCTGGAGTTCTTCGTTTGTACTTAGTTCAGTCAGTTCCTCTTGTATTATGACATTCGTTTCTTCTATGTCACCATAAGGATTAACTATCCACGATGGTATTACCATAGTCAAAATATCCTCATATGTACCTAGATTCAAAATCTGAATAGAGGGCATGTAAATGTTGAACGTAAGTTGAAACGTCGTCTTCCTGGTAGCTTGTCTATGACAAATTGGGGAACTGAGAAAATCCGATATTTTGCTTCATTAGTTTAACTCTGGCAAGAAACGCTGATAAGATGGACTTTGTTTTAATCAAATTTAAACTGTCGCCTGGTAACTGCAAATTAACCATATTATGTTTTGTAAACAAATCTGTTAAATAGGCGATGTCTGTTTTCCTCTTCATTAAATTTTCTTTTAAAATTTTATCTTTAGTATCCAGAAATTCTAAAATAGTCTCAAAAAGTGCAAAAAATCTTGTCAAACATAAGCCTCTCGACAGCCAGCGTACTTCAGTGTGAAGGAGTAATTGATGAAGGTGTTCGTCATTTTCTTCATACAACTGTAGCTGCTGATATTATATTTGATAAAGGAATTGCTTTTTCAATGAAGTAATCCTTCAAAACATGAAATATTGATTCACCTTTAATGTCGGTTATCAAAGCTCTTACGAAGAGCAGTTCTTCGTAGATTTCTTGATTCATAATAAAACGAACATATGCCAATAATAATGCTGCATTATCAGGTAAAGTTGACTGGTCCAGTTGTATAGAGAAATGGTTCGTTTGCAAATAATTACATAAGAAGCTTTCAATATCAGAACTCATTTCATCAATACGTCTTTCAACAGTATTGATGCTTAAGGGAATTCTTTTAATGATATCAGATGCAGGTTTGTGTAAAACAGTTTTTGAAACCTCTTCAACGGCTGTCAAAATTAACTTCTCTCCGATAGTATGCGGTTTTCCGGATTTTGCAGTAAGTAACGAGATATTGTAAGACGCCCGCAAACCATCATCATTTCTTTGTGACGTCGAAGCGAACATTCTGTCCAGTGTAGGTCTCTTCTGAAATTTATCTTTGAGTGTTTGAAAGTATTTCAAATCTTTCTCTGTTTTAACAGGGTGGCATCTTCTCAGATGATCTTGCAGTTTAGATGGTTTCATAGCGTCATTGCCCAAAACTTTGTTGCATAAAAGGCACATAGGCGATTGTTTGTCCGGCAATGATGGAATGAAGCCAAATTTCAAATAATCAACACTGTACTGTCTACATTTCTTTTTAGATTCGGACATGGCATCAGTCATCTGTGGGCAAAATTAAATTATTTAAATAAGACAGAAAATCCAGCAGCTGCATATTAAAAATATTTTTTGATTTTTCCGAAAACATTCCATAATTCGAATATCTTCTTGCAACAATTAGCTCGATTTACGGAGATTGCACTGTAATTATATTACCGATTGCTAAAACTTTCAAAAATAAACTATTGAGGAGTACTTGTGTAATTTTGCATGATTGAATATTTAACTACTAATAACTAAAGTCATGATTGGCGTAATTTATCTATCTTTGCTAACTACGAGTACAAAACTAAAATTTAATAAAAAATAATGTACTTACTTTTCTCCAGCACTGTCAAACAAAATAACACTGACTCACTATAATTTGTGTGATATACTATCTGTTTATATTTTTTAAAATATTTTCTTAGCACTGTCCTTTTCAAGATTCAGGAAACGAATAAACGTATTTGTCCCACATTCGTATTTATAGAGTGACGAATTGAACAAGTCAGTGCAAGGTAGCGAAGCTCTGAGACTGCGACTCTCAGGTTTTTACAAGTTCAAAATGTATTGCGATCACAAATCGAATACCAACATCCTAGAACTTACACAATTTTATAAACATATATAATAAATTTTGTACTTCATAGGTACTTTTATAAATAGTGTATATGTTTTGATATTATAAGATAGTATGATGTAAGTAAATAGGTACTATCAGTGTATGTGTTGAGATCCACTATCGTGGACCCCATATTCATTTCATGGACCCCCAAATTTTTTTTCGCTGACGTAGAGCCCTTGCAGGTTGTCATAGAATCCTAGGGGTCGATATAGACCACTTTGGGAATCAATGCTTTAGAGGATATCTTATCAGTATTTTGATAAATAAAATGCCTATTTATTTAAAGAACAATTTTTCCATGAGATGTGATCATCATTCAGCAAATCTGCGTTTCACAGAATTTGTTCAATGAAGTACCTCAAGCTGTTAAAACACTGTGTCCAGCATTAAAAGCAAACTTAAGCTCTTTGTCTTCGATAAGATGTAACGCGTATTTTTTATGCAATTTTATTTTCATATTTGTTTATTTGTGCCCGATTTCTCACTTGCCTCTTTTAATTTTTTTGTGTTTTGTACACGAGTCAATTTGCTTTTAATTTTCATATCTTTCGCCAGCTATTTTTTTTTACTCGCATTTCTAAGCATGGACTTTAGTTTTGTTAACCACTTTGTTGATTCACGTTTCTCTTTTGGCCATTATTCCATGCATAAGCTACGATGCTGTACAACTTTCTTTAAATTTTCTTATTTTCTTCTTTTTTTTGTATTCGCATGTACTTGTATTTTTTTAGCCTTGTGGGTTCTGAAAAACATCCTTAGCTGATTTAACCCGGCTGGTAAAGTGAAGCGCATTTATTATTATACCTTATGCCACCACCAAAGGATCTAATAGCTCGCTGTCATTCTATTGATGATTGAAAGTCTAAATCATATACAACTAGCATTTACCGTATTGAATTCAGAATACCATCAACAGCCAAATAAATTGATTGTGAATGGGTCGTCATCAAGGCTTGAAGGCTTCAAACGGTTAAACGAAAACACGTTTTCCCACTATATTCAGCTACCAAATCAATATATCGACAATAGCCAGCAATCTGTACGTCAGATCATTCAGGTCTTTGTGAAAAGCAGATCATGAGATCATGTCCAAAGAGAGATTCCCTCAGTCCAGCAGCAAGCAAATTTTCGTCCTGGCGAACAACGAAAAGGGAGTAATGGAATAAACCGATAGACCTCTAATGGTATTAAACTTAAATTCGGCTGGAAATATCAAAGCGTCTTGCAAAAAATTATAATGGATTTTGATATCAAAGGGAATCGATCAATAGCGGGAAGACTAACAATGGCTGGGAACAGTCTGAGTTATAACCAATAGTAAGATCACTCAGGGAGTCCGTTCGTTGAATCTAGATTCACACCCTTAATTATTCGCATATCATTAAGGAACACCCTGTATAAGGGCTACGTTCATTATATAACGCGCATCAGTCTTATCATGTTCACTGACTTGTAGGATGAGTTTTACACTGTGTCATGCTAAGTTATGAATAAGAATGCTTTATAGGTTCTTGAAATCGGTCTACTGGCGGTGAAACTACAGAATGAACATTTTACTCCCATTAGCTAGAGATATCATCCATAGAGGATCCTTAGTTGACTTAGCAATTTTTAGTCCTCATTTAGATTTTATTTATTGTATTTATTTTATTTTATTTATTTATTTCCAACAGGTGAAACCCAATGCTGAAAAAAATAACAATTAAAGAGACATGGTTCTTGGACTTAAATCTATAGTATCACACATTCTAAATAAGATTGGATGATCTATAGCAGTTAATAATCGATTCACAACTGTCACTGTAAATATCACACGATTCAGTAACACTGTTCATGACGCAGCACACGAGATTAATTGGCGATTTTGTCATAACATTTGTACGGCCAGCTTGACAATAGAATGCCGTTTGTTGTCGACTCCCTAGCCCTGGAACGCGGAAACATATTTTTTCAAGTAAATTTTGACAGTCAATTTTATTGTGAATGAGGCCATACAAAAGCGACAAAGCAAATATGTTTCGTCTTGTTGACAGTGAATCCAAATTGGAAAACTCTAATAGGGCACTATGGTCACAACCCCTTTCTGGATAAGAACCTGTGCATTTAAGGTGAAAATACTTTAAAGCTTTACGTTGAATGGCCTCAAGGATCACGACAGAATTTTGGCATATAGGAGACCAGATCAGAGTCGCATACTGCAACTTGCTCCTGACAAAAGTAAAAACTAAAGTCATTAATGTATCAACATTGGAGAAACCCTTCCAGTTTCTGATACAGAAACCAAGTAGTCGAGTGGCAGCCGACGAGATATTGAGTATATTCTCAGTAAACGTTAGCTTGGTATCAAAAGTGACTCCAAGGTCTCTATAAGAGGTGCATCTGTCTATAACCTGACCACTGATGTTATAATTATCATAAATTAAATAGTTAACCTTTCTTGTATAGGTCATAACTTTACATTTCGAAACATTCAGACTGAGACAGATTCGTGAACACCATGACGAAATTAGAGCTAAGTCATCTTGCAGCATGACGCAATCCTCGACTGTCTTGACTGACGTGCAGATTTTAAGGTCATCAGCGAAAAACAAATGGAAAGACTTCAGTTCAAAAGACAAGTCGTTAATAAATATCAAAAACAATAATGGACCTAGATTTGACCCTTGAGGTACCCCGGACGTGGCCCGATAGTAACTCGACCTATGACCACCATATTCGACAAATAACCTTCTTTCCCGCAAATATGAATTCATGAGCGACAGCATTGCATCATACATACTCACTGTTTTAAGCTTATCCAGAAGTGCATAATGATCAACTTTCTTCTATTTGAGCAGCCGTAAATGTTGTTACTACAATAATGAATATACGGCCTCAAGGAATAAGAATAGACCTTATACCTTTATTTTCTTGAAAGAAAAAGCATCTGATTTCTAAGGGAATTGGTGAAGTTCGAACATTTAGGCCTTTCCGTCGTATGGCTTTATTTCTTGTTGTCTGACTGAACCAAAGAGTTTCCGTAGCTGCGGCGTCAAATATTCAGGAAACTGCTTTCAAGTAATTAATTGTTAACGACAAAACATCTACAAGGAAAGGAAAATAGTTGCAGTTTCTTCCTTCGAGGATAAAAACTCTCTTTCATTTCTCGTTTCTTGGTTGCTTTTTATTTGGATAGAACACGTACACTCACTCTGAGGAGTACGAAAGCGATATGTATTGCCCTGAAATGCCAATCAACAGTGTTCAGAAATGAAGTCACAAACAGACAGTTGTATATCAAGCATTGTCAAGTGGTATTATCGCGCGACACTCTTCTGAATCTGAGTGCACCTGTATGGTGACAAAAATAGTTAACCCCCAGTCCCTCTTTTAAAAGTACGAGACTGTTGGAGTATCATATACACTACCGTTCAAAAGTATTTGAACAGCCAGAAAGCAGGGAAACTTATGGAAGTTACTAAAGAAACATTAGAATATCTGTATGAGACATTTATTTTCTCAATTCTGAAGAACATACAACTATTTGTAATCAAAATAATAATATTTTTGACTCATCAATATGTCCTCTTTTACTTGTCATTATAGCCAGGCAAATGATGGGTAAACGCACAACTAATTTTTCTAAAATGGATGAGGTGATTTTTCGCCATTCGTCTTGTAAGTGTTCTTGAGATGTAGGGCAGCATTTCCGTACTTGTCTGTCCAGGTCATCCCACACCAACTCTATCGAATTCAAAT